GTTTTCAGTATACAAAGTGTTCACCTCCTCAGTTAAATTTACACCCAAGTGTTTTATATTTTGTTGCTATTGTAAATGGATTGTTTTCTTAATTTCTTTTTCAGATAGCTCACTGTTAGTATATGGAAACACTAGTGAGTTTGGTATATTGATTTTGTATTCTGCAAACTTACTGAATTTGTTTCTCTCTTCTAACAGCTTTTTGTTGGTTTTAGGGTTTTCTACCATGTTGTCAACATACAAAGACAATTTCATCTTTTCCTTTTCTATTAGAGTGTCTTCTATTTCTTTCTCTTGCCTAATTTCTCTAGTGACAACTTCCAGAACTGCGTTGAAAAGAAATCAGAGTAGACATCCTTTTGATGTCCCTGGTCTTACAGGAAACACTTTAAACATTTTACTATGGTTTTAATAATAAAAGCCAATATGTGGCTTTTATTGTGTTTGACATATACCTATTATATTGAGAGCTTTTCTTACAAAAGTGTGTTGACTTTTGTCAAAAGGTTTTCCTGCATCTGTTGAATTGATCACGGTTTTTAGCCTTCATTTTGTTAATGTAATGAATCACACTTATTAATTCAAATATATTGAACCTTTCATGCATCTGAGGGATAAATCCAACTTGATAATAGTGAATGATTCTTTTAATCTAGTTGAATTTGGTTCAGGAGTATTTTGTTGGGGATTTTTACATCCTATGTTTATCAGGAATATTGACCCATAATTTTCTTTTCTTGTAGTGTCCTTATCTGGCTTTAGTATCGAGGTAATCCTCACCTTGTCAAATGAATTTGGGAGTATTCCATCTTAAGTTTTTTGGAAGAGTTTAAGAAGGCTTGGTATTAGTTCTTCTTTAGATGTTTGGTAGAATTGAACTGTGAAGCCATCTGGTCCTAGACTTGACTTTGGTGGGAGACTTTTTAATTACTGATTCCATATTCTTACTTATTATTGGTCTGTTCAGGTTTTCCATTTCTTCAGGTTTTCCACTTCTTCATGATTCGGTCTTAATAGGATGTTTTACCTTCTTAAATATTTCTGCATCACCATTTCTCCATTGCCTTTCCTTGCCTCTCTTTCATGCTCCTTTCCTTCCTCCCATGACCAGACAACTACACTAGCTGTCTTGCTGATTTCCTCATTTTTACTCTTATGCTCCTCTCAAGTGTTAGTCGCATAAGAGCCAGAACCATTTCTAAAGAAATGCTAATCACGTCAGCTCTCTCTCTGAGAACACTTCAGTGGCTTACCTTTAGTCTTAAGATACAAACAAAAACTTCTAAAGAAGACCTATAAGGCTCTACAAGGACTTGTCTTTCCTTACCTTCCAGATTCATCACACACTATTTGCCCCTCTTACACTCCTTTCTCCACCCACTTCCTTTTTTAGACCCTTGCATTTGCCAGGCTCCTTCATGCCACAGAGCATTTGCCACACTGTTCCCTCTGCCTATAACACACCCAACCCCCAGTTCCCTTGTGGTTAGCTCTTCTTCCTTCAGATATCAGCTCAATTATACTCATCAGGGGAAACTTTTCTGTTTTTCCTTATCAGTCAAATTTCCCTGTTGTATGTTACCATAGTAATTATCATAATAGTAATTTTGTGTTTGTTTTTAGGCTTATTTTATATATATATATTTTAACCTAAACTTCAAACTCTATGAGCACAGGGGCCTGTCATTTTTGGTCATTATTTTATCCCTAATAGACATCAGATTGCCTCAGAGATAGAGTAGGAACTCAATAAATAGTTAATTAAAGAAACAGATAAATAAATAAGTGAAG